CTCGTCTGTGTGAAAATCGTGATCTTGGACGCGACTTTCGTGTTTCTGTAGGTAGATGTCTTCACCGACTAGACGAGTGTGCTCGCTGAAAATAAATGAAACACAAAGTTACAGGTGTGTAGAAGGGAAAACCATGTCGTATGTGCCAAAAACAACACTTGTATGTACGTCAATAGACCTCCTAAACGTATGATTAAACCGGTACGGTGAACTTCTAGGCAGACAAACCAAGATTTTGAATCCGAAAGAGCGAGAAGACACACTTTAAAAGACGCTCTTCTACTGCATGTAAAATCAACCGATACCAAAAAACGTTTTCATATTTTTGCAATAGCCAGGAACCTGGAGTCACAAGATTGCTGACCTTCCTCCAGAGAAAGTTCAACCTAACCGCTTCCAAAAAGACAAAGCGTGGTTTCAACAATATAATCAGAAGACCCGAAGACAGCTGTAGCACCATTTCGGTGCCTAACTGCCGTGCCACACAAAGGAGGCACGAGGGGTGGGATACAGCCAGGTCGCCCAAGCTTAGACAGGGGAAGTCGAGTGGCAGAGGTCGGGTTCGAACCACGGACCTTCCGGCCAGTAAATTTGCGCTCTGACCACTTGTTCCATCCCGCCCCACTGTACCTCACGTACAGGGCAGCACTGGTGAGCAGTTAGTGTGTACTGATGAGGCCTGTTAATCTGTAATACGTAACTGCTGTCCACCCTCCAGTGCCTAGTGCCGAAAAAAGACTCGCCGACAAGTGACACAACAGCTTTATTGCAGCAAGCGAGTGCGAAGGTGCAACGGTCTCGCGCTATATAGTGAGGGGGCACTGTCTGACCTTGATCCAAGGCTGTGTCGCAGTGCCTGATTCTGCTCCAGGACTGTCTAAGTAGTTTTCGGGTATCCTGGGATAATCTTCAAGAATCTGACTTTCCTTACACCTCTCCCTTTTGACCATTCAACGTAAGATGGTCGGCGCGGATCAAGTTGAAAAGGTTCCACCGGTACGACGTTAGGTGGAACTCCACACGGACCCCTTTTTACCGCTCGCAGTCAGGTGCTGCTACGGCCGAGAAGCTATCCCACTCAAGACTGGCCAAGAATTGGGGACGCTTGCCGGTCCGGCATCAAGCCGAGATCTGACTGGTCGAAAGTTTGGACCTAACAGCCAATCACGACCCAGTATTGGCCAAATGACGGTTGCCAATGGCGCATCCAGAACGCGTCAGAATTTCCAGAAAGTTATTGCCGCCTACGCCATATATATATGAAGCGCTGTACAAGTGTTCCGGACTTCGTTTTGGGCATTAATATACCTTGTGCACCTCTTGTGGTTGTTTTGACAAGAACGCTAGCTTGGGAGGCTCAGACAGAGAACTAAGCTGAGAAAAATACCGTTACTACGTACGACGTCTTGGTTGCAGCAGTGGATGCGTCTTGGACGGTACATGAGGAGCAGTGGCTATTGGCGCTGATCTTGGGAGATCAAAGGTTTCGAGCAACAGGTTGAGGTCTGGTAACTGTTCCTCTGCTTTTGGGATCGGGCACTCAGTCGGCTGTAGCTGATTGACATGCCGTTTGCATATTCGGACGCTGTAAATCACCTTACCAATTCCTTGGAGAACGACTCCGACAGTCCAGTTTTTAAGCTCAAAAACATCATACACGAGAGATTCAGCTGGGTTTCAGATGAGTCTCCTGCAAAACCAAATTGGTTTGCAAATGAGAGTATTTCGCTAATTTCGTGCAATTTGGGCTCAAATGGAACATAAGGTTGACGGGGACTGCGCCAACCTGATGAGCTCCAAGAAGAGGGGAACCGGTCGTGGGCTGTCGAGGAGATTGCAGCAACTTAATGAATAGTGCATTGTCTACGAACCAGCCAGCTTGACCGTTGGATTGGGGATGGATTGGTGGGGAAGTAACATGTATGATGCCGTGTCTTCGAACGAATTCACAAGACGGGACGTGAATTGCAGCAACTTAATGAATAGTGCATTGTCTACGAACCATCCAGCTTGACCGTTGGATTGGGGATGGATTGGTGGGGAAGTAACATGTATGATGCCGTGTCTTCGAACGAATTCACAAGACTGTTGGGACGTGAACTGAGTACCATTGTCTGAAACAATGGTTTCTAGGGTATCGAATATTGAAAACAAATGTCACAGTTTAGTGATGGTTGTTATCATTGTTGTCTCAGACACAAGAAGGACATCGGGCCACTGACTGAATGTTTCGGAAACGATGAGGAAGCTTTGTCCGTTAAGTGGCCCGGCAAATCCATGTGGATACGCGACCACGGTTCTTCTGGCTGTGGTCAGCTGGATTGGTGATACTCCATTGCCCTCTGTAGTATGCTGTCGTTTTTGGTGGCATCGCGGACCATGTGAAAAGTCACGCTAGGTGGCTTGTAGTCTCCAACACGGACTTCCGGTTCGACTATGGTTCTGCTTCGTAACCCCCGGCTGCGTCTTCGACTAGCTATTCGTGTCCGGCAATGACTTTCCTTGTGCCCACGTCGATTGCACACTGGATATTTGTGTTTTCTTACAGGGACACAATCACACAAAATGCCATTCGCCGCACTGTCAGCGGCTCTTAGCTATCAAGTTATCTATGAGCTTTAATGAGAGTCCGGTGGTTGTTCCCTTCGGATAAGCCGCGCTAGGACAGGAAAGAGGACTGTTCAAACGGGACTGATATGAAGAAAGTGCTTATCTCGACTGATAAATCCGCTGACCGACGATGAGAAAGCCAAGATTATTATCACGTGAAAAACGCTTGGAACCAATTGAGTAGTCATGATTTTCGGGAAGGTTTGGTAACAATCGGTAGATTGATTGCTGGGCAACGTTTCGCCTTTGATACAAAAGATTATTATCTCCGAAAATGACCACCAAAACTATGAGCATTATATAATACTTGTGAACTCCTCAGTAGTTTTTCGGGAGAAGTAGATTATTCACAAGGTTACTGAAAACTCTTTGATAGCCCACTACCGGATTCGCTCTTTTTGGGGCTCATCAGGTAGATGTACTCCTCGATTTTCCATCAACCCTGCATGAACACGGTGTTGGACAGACCTTGAAACATCGGTAAGTCTTGAATGAGAGGCTATATGAATTCCACACGTACCTCGATAGGCCGAAAGATGAAATGTCGCTGCATGGCAGACAAAGCAATCTGACGAGTTGGACCATAAGCCCTTGCGTCATTTCAGGCTAGGCTTAGGTTTGTGACAGTTTTAAAGTTTTTTTGCCCAGTTGTTCGCCATTCAGTTGTTTGGTCTACTTCGGCTGGGTCTCTGACGTGACAATGAGCAGGATGTCTTGAGCGCTTAGGCTGGTTCGTCCGTGTTGAGATCTCATGTATACGCAGTGTGTTCAACCCGGAGATGAATGCTTTTTGGATACAGATAAGACTGCTTTCGCACACACACATACACACACACACACAGTAAAAGAGACCAGTTCGTTTTGTATCCGGTTGGCCTTTCTTCCAGGGTATCACTGGTAAGAACACAGTTTGCGGTGGGATACGTCTGAACTCGGCGACGAGAGGCTGATCAGCAGTGCCATTGACCTGCACTGACAGGAAGCGACCCACTATTTTACCCTTCTGTGATGAAAAAGCCGTCAGACACTGTTACGCATTCAATCGTTCAGATGTCTTCCTCCCCTCAGAAATCGATAAAAACGAAACGAATTGAAATCCCCGCAGCCAGCACCCGAATGAAACGTGGATTGTACGCAGAGCTAGAGCCGGAATGTCATGCCTTCGAATTCCCAAATTACGATCATCGCCCCCCGGAACAGATGATACTACAACAGGGGTCTACCGTCTCGAAATAAAAACACTGGCATTAGTAGTAGCACGGTGCGGTTTGCCGAAATCCCACAGCTCACTCCGGAAAAAAGGTCATTGCACGTTGAAAGTGAAACTTGTCGAAACCAGCCATAAAAACCTCTACAGGTTGGCTTAAAACGGCCCCAGACAATTGAACGCTCAAGACTTGGTTGGTCCTCCGGCGAATAAGACCTGATTCCCGACTAAATACATGAAGTTGCACTGTGAAACGTAGTGATAGAAGGCATGGATAAGTGCCTGTGACGAAATTCACGGGAAACATCGATATCCTCACCACACAAACATGAACTCACTCGGAAAAGCAATATCGAAGATCTTCTCGCTCGATCCGTGACTCACTAATCACTTCTCGACAGTATTTTCGAACGCGAGAGATAAAGGCCTTGTGCTGGAAATGAAATAAGACAATGAGTTGTGCAGTAGGCTAGAAGTGAACAGTTGAGAATCGCTTATCCATGAAAAGTAAGACCACGTGTCGCGAATGCTTTTAGTCAAACTCAACAAGCTGACTGATGAGTCCCATCCACGTCACCAGTTGTGTGCTGCAAACGGTGGTGCAACTTCTATGTCGGTCCTTGGCTTTCCGCTCCGTCCACTATGGCATATCAAAATGCCCGGTTGTTTGAGACAGCCCTTTATGGGGACAAAGGAAGATTAGTACACCTGTATGTATAGGGCAATCACAGAATGTTCCACAAGTCTAGAATCTTCGTGAGGGAACAAAAAGCGCCGAGCCATAAATTGTCGATCCTGATTGGCTGACATTCTGACCAATCAAGGCACACCAGGCACGTGACGCGTCCTTCCAGTTGACTTGGTGTTTGGTTATTAAGGGCGCCTGGCCTCCAGACGTAGGTAAAATAGGATGTGTGCTGATGAGCTCAACTGGAGCGCTGTCCTGAAAGGGCATTCACATGCGACCCCTTTGGGTCCGTAGCTGGTAGGTAAGCCGAAGAGAGCCCCGAGGCCGAGACACTGCTTGGTTGCCTAAGTCAAAACAAGGGCACTGAAAAAGCCAGAGGTCTAGCTGGTCCACAGGCTCACAAAGGTTTTCGTGCAAGGAAAGTGATCGATATGACAAAATCGTTCTATTGCCCAAAACGTCTTAACGGAACAGTAGCACCGATTGTACGGCAATGACGGACTGTGGTGATCCAGTCAGGTGGGTCAGGTCCACAACAATTAGGCGTAAAAAACTGCGAACAAATAATGGTGTCAACTGCGCCCCTAAGAAGGGAAGGTTGTAAGTATCAATATTTTTCTTCTGGAATCAAAACTACGCCGGCATGTGGTGAAATTGGTATGATTCTTGTCAGGTGCAAGCTGGAAAATTCTGCAGGTCAGAGCTGCGGGTGTGAAACCAACCGGTCTCTATAGCTGGAGCGATACAAATACGCGACTTACTTCAGACTCTGGTAAGTTCCAGAACACGATGACACCATTTCTGAAAGTGGAAACGAGAGCAAACTGTTGGAAGCGCTCATTTTTTTTTACAAAGAATAAAAAATAAATTTACGATAAATTCAAGGTTTAGACCAAAGAGTGTCACTAAGTGAAAGCAACGAGGTTAGGAAAGCACTAGTAAAGAGAAAGATGCCCTTGCGATGTCCCCGGCTAAGCGCAGGAGGGGTCACGGAGACCCCAACCTAGAAGGCGGACCGCATCAACAACTCTTCGTAATCCCTTCAACACCCTTCTACCACCTCGAGGTTTACGCCATTGTGAAAGAGGCATTTAAGGCAACGCTCTTTCCGTAGAGGCTATTTCGGCATGCCATTGTAGTTGGTGGTGTTGAGCGATTTCTGCAAACGAAGTACCCATCGCACAACCAAACACTCGTATTCTAATTGTTGATGCCATCCGAAACCAGCAACGTTTCTGAGGCTCGGTGGTAAAAAAACCTGTCCACAGAGACAGTCTTGCAACCATACAACAACACAGAGTTTACTGTAACCTTGCAAACGCGAACCTTGAGGCCCTGTGATATGACACCACAATTGACGCAAATTAGCGAACGTGATTCGGACCTGAGATTCTTGCACTGACTTCACCAGGCACACTTCTATGGGAGCTAACACAATGACAATAACCCTGCACAACCTCCACAGATTTTCCTTCCATTGTAGAGGGTATGTTCAGCAGCTGGATGATTTTGTACCTTGAAGGTACAAGACTCGTTGCAAAAGATAGTATGAACTTGGTCGGTTTATTCAACAGGGCTTCTTGTGCTTCACCTTTGTCCTCAAAGGTGAGGACGATATTGTCTGCGTAGTGTAATCAAGCGTGCATTTAAATACGAATGCATCATTGTTGACAGTAAGTAACTGAATGACTGGATACGTTAACACAGGAAAATTGATACTGGTGTACCACATGATGATCTGCATGAACCACTGTTGCATTCCATTTATGGCGAGATGGCTCAGTGGTTGGAGCGCGAATTTACTGACCCGAAGGTCCGTGGATCAAGCCCAACCTCTGCCTCTTGACTTCCTTTGTCTAAGCTTGGGCAACCTGGCAGTATCCCAGCCTTCGTGCCTCCCTCGTGTGGCATGGCAGCTAGGCCCCAAAAGGGTGCTACAGCTGAACGATTTTTTATTCTTCACCAACGGCCGATACGAAGCCACTTTCGAAAGAATGCCAGTCGCCGGTGGTCAACCCCCAAAAGTTATATGCTCAAGGTTCACCTGCCATGTGACGTAGGTCCGTGACGCTACGCGGCTCGGGGTGATACTTACTAACTGACCCGTGTGTGTGCGCGCGCGCACAAGGTTAGCGGAGTATGCTCGCCGGCCCTAGCCTATCTGCTGCTCCTATGGACTGGCCTCTCTGGGTCGAACGTATAAGCAGTTGTTAAAAACGCATCTAAGTACTACCCAGTAAGATGGCACTTGGACTCGGTGGACGCAGGTCACCAAAATGATCTCCAAGCGGTTTTCAAAGTCTTACGTCAAGTACCGTGGGAAAAACCAAAAGCATACTTACGGCTTCTGCTAGCTACGACCGAGTTATTGAATACTCGCTTGTTAAAACTCGCGTTATGAATTCCGGAGGTTACCTTGGTCCCCTAAAACTGTTAGACGCAACATTAATAGTGGTACTAGTGACAGGACAAAATCTCAATTGATAACAATAGTTGATAGGCGAACCAGACTAAACTGAAAAACACAGTGTGTTGTGATTTCAGTTAGTCGATGATAAGAGTTGTGTGGCTGATCAGTCAGCTGGACAGTCCAGATGGTCAGACAATCCCATTGTGAGAGAAGATATATTTCCATCCCTCAATCAGACAATCCCATTGTGAGAGAAGATATAATTCCATCCCTCGAAAGTAAACTGAAGACCATTCACAAGGTTGCTAAAACCTCTTCGACAGCCCACGACCGGTTTTGCCCTTCTTGGGGCTCATCAGGTAGGCGCAGTCCCCAAGTTTCCGTCAACTTTATGTTCTACTTGAACCCAAATCGGACTGATTTCGAAAAAACACGTAATTGCAAATCAATTTAGTTTTCACGATGGACTCAAGTGAATCTCTCGTCGAGATGAGTTCGAATTGGGTTCAAGTACAACATAAGTTGGATGGAAACTCGGGGACTGCGCCCATCTGGTGAGCCCTAAGAAAAGCGAAACCGGTCGTGGGCTGTCGAAGAGTTTTCAGCAACCTTGCGAGTATTTTCCTTCATGAAAATATACTGCGATATCTCGAATATCGTGCCAACTGAAACACGAGGGGGCCTGTGTGCAGCACATGCAGTTGTAGAATACCATAAACGAGGTATTCAGCTGAGTGAAAACCAAATTGGTTTGCAAATGAGTGTATTTCTCGATAAACTGAAGACCGTTTAGCCAAGTCAACTTATGCCCTGGGGTCGTGTTGGAAACATCGTTCACTTGTGGGACACCTTCGGTTCATACCCATCTGGCAATCTACAGGAAGTATGGAGATTCGGATAGTGAGAGGCCGCGAAATGGATAAGTACACTTACTGGAAGATGAACACATCACTTTGAGAGTTCGGATCCGATGTTTGGTTACCAGAAAGCAGCAGTACCTCATGAGAAATATCTGACGGCAGCCGGACTGAATGATACGAGTGGTCCTTCTGTGTGAACTCAGCACGTACCGCATTGAGGTCGACCACCTGGGAAATACCATATGCGGAAACGCTGAGGAAACCGGATTCTTTAGGTTGCGTTGCATTCTCCTGCAAATTGAATAGGGTGAGGGCAATTGTGAAACCAAATCAGGTCAGGGTAAGAAAAACATTGTTGGACAAATTATCCAAAGAGCAGTTTTATCTGAGTCACGACCTAAACTGTGATTCCCATTCAAAGAGGATTCCAAGTGCTCCCTTTCCCCGTAGGAATTTTCGATGGAAGAGTACCTCGGCCAAATTCAATTCCGAGGAGCATCATACGGGTTGTTGGGGGAGATGGCTCAGTGGTTAGAGTGCAAATTTACCGACGGTGGCTCGAATCCGACCTCTGCCTCCCAACTTCCCCCTTTCTGGTCTTGGGCAACCTGGCAGTATCCCGGTCCTCATGTTTCCTTCTGAATGCATGACAGTTAGGCACCGAAAGGTGCTACAGCTGAACGATTTTTTTCATATGGGTTGTGTCTGATGGGGAACGCTTCCAAGGGATTCGTCTCCTTTCCGGGGAGGTTGGTGTACCCAAACTGGTGGGGCAAAACCTTCAATGTCTGTACGGCCGAACATAACCTCAGGCCACACAAGGCGTCGAATATTCACGTGCTTTTTGTTCGGAATGCTCTTTTAAAAGAATGCAAACTACAACCGGTGAACAGGCATTTGAGTGAAAAGATAAGACCCTTAAAAAGAGGCTCGCTTGTACACTACGGTGGTCCACCCTCCAGGTAGCATTCACGTGATTCCCCCGTGCGGATGGTTTTAACCGATGCAAAATGGGACTCTGAACCGCCGTTAACGGTGTTTATGCTGT